TGTTAATTGATGCAATAGTCACCCAGAATGGGGTGCTTCACCAAGTGTCCTCCACTGTTTTGTGTTACTGGGCCAGTGAGTATTGCTGGGGGAGAAGGGGAACAAAAGGTATCTTAATATAAACCTTGTGGTGCTTTTCCTTAGTTAGCTGAGCTCTGCTACTGGTGCTTCTTAACTTTTGTTACGTACAGCAAAGAAACAGTGGATGTGTTTCCTACTCATGACTTTCCTTCCACTTTCCTATATCAGTGGGTTGCAGTGAGACCTGAACAGAGGGAAAAAGAGATATATACTGCAGATTGTGACTAATAGATTTAAATAGAGTAATTGGTGTGAAGGAATTGAACTGAGAGCTCACCTTGGACAAATATCTTTTGCATTATATGTGTTTATCTTTCCTTTTCTGGACTTGTATCTGTGATTTTTGAGGCAATTGTAGAGCTTTACAACAAAATTCCAGTCCCTGTCCTTCCTCTCAAGTCACAAATATGTTCTGCCATATAAAACAGCTTCATTAGAAGAGATGGTCCTATACATTGTAGTTTCATGGCTAACAAACAATTCAGAGGCATGTGAGATGTAACAAGACAAAAATGAACCTAGATTTTTACAAAGCCTGGCAGATTTTCTTACTGTTGGGCTACTGAGTAAGAGAGTTTGAGGGAAAACTAGAACTGCTCATACACCAGTAAAAGCATCAAGATAGTTCTAGATTACTGGCTCTGCACCACGGTAGGAAAGCAGGAAAAGAAATACCTGATAATTCCTGGTGTGATTCTAAAGCGAAGTGATCTCTGTGATCTTGTGTAAATTGTTATTGGTACATCTACCAGTTAAAGATGTAGATTTGTATCTTTTTTTGATTCTGTAACTGAAGCTGAAGGAATTGACAGCCATTGATTTTTGTCTATTTGCTGTATGTATATCTCTTCTGATTATAATGCCTCATGAGTGGCATTTGTTCTGTGAATGATTTTACCTGTTGGCTTAATTTAATGTGGATTTTATAGATTTCAGTGCATGTTGATTTGTAAATAACTCGGATCTAACTTTTAGATTTAAAAAGACAGTTATGTATAAAGCATGTTGCTAAGGCCATTGATGTTAGCTGAGCAATAGTTAACGTGTAACATTTACTTCAGTTTTGAACATAGTCTCTTAGCTACTTAAATCAGGTATATTCACTTCATGATAAAAACATTGTAATAACTTAAAACCAATTTTCTCCCAAATCTTTATGATTGAGCTTGATGCCATATGGTATTGAATATCCCTTTGACCAGTTTGGACCGGTGTCTTGGCTGTGTCACTTCCTCTATGCACTTCTTGTCCTCCTCGCTATCAGGGCAGCATGAAAGGCAGAGAAGTCCTTGGCTCGATGTAAGCACTGCTCATCAACAACTAGAGCATCAGTGTGTTGATGGTGGTATTCTTATCCTAAATCAAAACCACGGGGCTAGCTGCCCTGAAGAAAATTAACTCTATCCCAGCTGAAACCAAGACTTAAGAATCTATTTGACCTTGGGCGGTGGATGTTTTACTATAAATTGCAGCAAGAAACTAACTACAAGTAGAGGTAAACAAGATGTGAAACTACTTGGAACTTCTGTGTAGGTATTGACTCAGGCAAAGTTTTTCTTTGAAGCCCATGAAAAGGCAGCAAGCTGACTGATACAAAGCAATGGAAAGAAAGTCCTCAAATCCTTGTTGCACTGCTTCTGCCAGAGCTAGCTGATTAATAATGGCAAAAAAGCTGGGGGCCAATTTTGACTTAACAGTTTCATCAAGCCAAATGTTGGTTCTCTAGTTTCTGCAGATGTTGTTTACTAGGAATGAACGTTTTGCTTTTATTTTTTTAATTATTTAAGTTTGACCTGTGTATAATCAACAAGCATTGAGAGTGGTTAGGTTGTTATCTACAGATCGTTTAGCTAGAAAGATTATCACAGTGGAAAGGGATAATAAAAAAATGAGTGAAAATGCTCACCCATGTCCTGGGCTCAGAGGAAAACTCCAAAGGGAGCGATCTCCAGGAAGAGATCCTTCCATGGTGGCAGTCAGCCCTTAAATGGGGTCTAAGGGAAGTGCAGCCAGGCTCCAGCCCTTCCGGTCACACAGCTGAATCGCCTTCACCTGTGTCCCATGGCTGAGTCAGTGCTTGCCTCAGGTGATCAATCAGAGTTTCAGGCCATGATTCAATGGTTCCCATACAGACTTGCTTTTTCTATGACCTAATTCTGAGCCTTGCTTTATTCTGATAACTAGCTCACACAATTTTTTGGGAGGGTTGAGGGGAAAAAAATAATAGGTAAGAAGACCAACAGCACGTTATCGTATATTGTATGTGTATATCACCTGTGGAGCACTCAAATAGTTGGAGCAAGCTGATGGTCTTTGGCAAACCCACCTTTTGGCTCCAAAAGCTTCTAAGCTTCAGAAATTCTTTGGTGAGGTAGTCCAGGATTTTAGCTTAGATCTGTGGCTGTGGCAGTACTATTTATTTATTTATTTTCTCCAGTGGCAGTCTTGAAGCTTTCACTGGAGGAAGTAGATGACTTTGAATTTAAACTGCAGGTTTCCTAGCCATAGAACTGGTCTAATGAGAAGATGTTACCCAAATAAAACCTTGCTTCATGCTGCTATCTATGCAGTTTGTTCCATGTAGTATGAAGATTTTTACCAGGAGACCTACTCTCACCTCCACCTCCCCTTCACCCCTCAGAGTACTCTCTTTTTGCAGTTCTTAATGAAATTGCCATCATGTAGGCTGTGAGCTGTGTTGCTGGTGATACTGAACCCTTCAAGGGATTGGTATTTATATAATACCAAATGAATAAATAATCTCTGCAATGCTCTGGAGGTTACAGGATAAGAGACAATTTCTGTGCAGCTGAAGTATCACACTTTAAATCTCACTGATATTCTTACGCACTCTTGTATCAGCTTGTCATAAAGCTATTTATGTCTGATAAGTTTCCTTCTAAACACTTGTAAAAGTAGCTTTGAAGAGTAAGATTTGAATTAACCTTTTTTTTTTTTTTTTTCCTTAGGAGTGTTTTCAGGTTTGAAACCATTCCAGTAATGTCTGAATGCACTTTGGTGGCAATTAGCTGTAAGCTAATAGTTTTGCATGTGGACAGAAAGTTATCCTGTAAAATAGATAATTGAGAATGATTCACTCAACAGTATTGCCTCACTAATGAAGCTAAATTTCATCTTGCTGTGAATGTTATGAATAGTAAGCCACTGGTATTTACTTCAAGCATATTTGTGTGATTGCTCCAACCCTCTGGAAAAGGACAAGGGGGAATGGTTTTAAACTGAGACGGGAGGTTTAGGTTAGATATTAGGAGGAAGTTTTTCACTCAGAGGATGGTGACACACTGGAACAAATTGACCAAGGAGGCTGTGGATGCCCCATCCCGGGGGGCCTTCAAGGCCAGGGTGGATATGGCTCTAGGCACCTGGTCTAGTGGTTGGCGACCCTGCCCATGGCAGGGAGGTTGAAACTAAATGATCTTTGAAGTACTTTTCAACCCAGGTCAGTCTATGATAATTCTATGGGATGGAAAAAAAAAACAACAACAACAACAAAAAAAAAACACACAGGGATTCCTGTAAGAATTTGCATTGCATAAGGCTTTTCTTTTACTTTCTTATACTTCCACTGACCTTTCTTTCCTAAACCAGTAACTGGTCAGAAGGTAGGTAAATGCTCAGTATGCTGCCTTTTATTGTAAAAGGGAGACAGCCATAGTAGCAAGGATGAGTTCTTAGGTCATTTGCTGAATTCTCTCCTTCTGTGTCATTGTTCTCTTTATTTTTAGTTTGTCTCTGAAAGGAGACTTAGAAGCCCAGCAGTTATTTCATGTGTGCTTTGGAATAGGAAGCTCTCTAGAAAATGTGTAGCTAGGAACCTTTCTGAAAGCAGACATAAGTTACAGATATGTACCTATGTTCAGCATACCTATCTGATGCAAATGCTCTTGCTGAAACTAAGAGTGAATTTCTGGAATCTGCTCTGCTCAGTTCCTCCTTGCTGCGTGTTATGCTTTTCATCACTGAAGACCATATTTTGTGTGCAGCGGTCTAACATTGCCTGTTGAGAGCTGAATACAATTTCTTATTATTGTTGTGCTAAATAGGAGGTCAGGTCCTGTAGAATAATTGCAGTAAATCTTTCTTTTTATCTGATTGCTCATTAACTCTGGAGTATCAGAAGTGATTGCAATCCTAGACGTTAATTTTTTATGTGAAAATCAAAGTTCTTTGCACACAAGTGGCTTAATGTTAATGCTGTTCTCCCAAATAAGAAGCCTTCAAAATTAATTTCCACAGAACCAAGTATAACACTAAGGACCTCTGAAGCAGAGTAACAATGGAACTGGGAAGTATGGAACAAATGTTTAATTTAAACAAGTACTGAATTGTCACCTACTGAAATAAGTTCTAATTATACACAGAAGTATTTTAGTGAACTAGAGTGCAGCTTTCAAAACAAACAGTGTTATTAGAGTGGAATTAATGAATCCCAGCTTCTTACAGATCTCTTTCATATTTGAATTCTCTGCTTAGTAAGAACATTACAGTTTTCCCCACTTAGAAGTGATGATCACTGTCTTGGATTCTTCTGTTTTCCATAAGCTTGTAGGTTTTCTAGTATTTAATAACACGTGGACTTCCCTGCAACAGACCTGTGAATTGTCCTTTGTTCTCTATTAGTAGTTTTTACAAAACTTTTCAGAACTTAATTATCCTTGAAAGATTTTTCTCCTGATTTGAAATTAAATAATATTTTCATAGGATGGGTGGGAAGCTGGGAAAAAGCTGGCAGATGAGCAGAATGTTCGATAATGAAAGTTGTAGAAAAACAGCCCAGAATTTTGCTTCTACTTCTGTTAATATGACCAGGATATGTTGGGTTGGTGGTGCTGTAAGTAATGGTTTGTTGAATTGTGTAAAGCTGGTATCCTGGAGTTAATCTATTGTACCTTTTGCAGGTGGAGATTTACATTTTACCTTTATATATTTACCTATGGAGTACGGTTCCTGAAAAAGGTAGGCACTTGCATTATTATGCTTTCATAACACGTCACAGACTCTTCTGCAACCTTAGGTAGATATAATGTAGAGCACAGGCATAAAATTGACATCCACCAGGAACAAAAAGTTAAAATTTGATTTGCATTCATAAAACGAGTTGCCATTGGCACTAACTGCTTAACAATAAATTAATGGAACAAAAAAATCCATGGATATTGCAAGATGCCTAGTTCACTTTATTACTTTTCATTATTAGCATTAAACAGGTAGTAAGACTTACTAAAGTATTCAGCTCGGCTTTTGCATCATTCTTACTTAAATTCCTCTAGCAGAAGTTGATTTTTAATAACAAGCCAAATCTATTAGTGATTGTAATTATACTATTTTTTGCTTGTTCTTTGTCTGGTGTACTCTGGAAAGATGTATCGTGGGGTTTCCTATCAGTGGTATGTTTCTGGTGATTTAAAACAGAGAAGGACATTAATAGCCTGTAATTGCCCTTACCATAGGTCCATTAACCTAACCATTTGTTGTTATCTATATCTATGGTGCAGATTTTTACGGCATTGCTAGTTCCCCGGGATTTTGTACAAGTCAAGCAATATGTGTGTAAACCTGAGAGATTGAATTTAGCTTTTATGCTATTGTCATTATTTCAGTCTTCTGCCACATATACTTATTTCTTCCACATAGGCCTGTACACAAATTAACAAAATTATGACTATATATGTATATGTGTGTGTGTGTATGTATATATATATAATTTGCCTCATCTTCATAGTAACACTGTGTAAGTAAAAGAAAATAGAGGCTTTTTGCTGTGCATCAGACACCAAAGACTTCACTGGATCCACTTAGGGGGGAAATCTAGATTTGCAAGAATTAAAATCCAAACCAATCAAGCCAATTTGCCACACTGGTTTTCAAGGTCCTTCTTCTAGTAATCCTGTCACAATTTTTTTTTTTTTCTTTACAAAGAATATATTGCTTGGAAGTATAGAATCTTGTTGAAAAATCTTGTTTAGCAAGTTGGTGCAACCCTCTCAACTGATGAATTGATTTACAGAGTCATGGAATTTCAGAGATACTGTGACTGCATTTCATTCCTGATTTCTGGATATGTTGGCAGCAACTTGTTTGTGTCTCTTAGTAGTGGGGCAGAGGTGGTTAAAACTAGAAAATGGTAATGACTGACTTGTGGATTTTTTTGAGCAGTTGTATTTGCACCATCAAGCCACAGTAATCTGCACTGTGCAGGATGTGCCTTTCTGCTGTGGGAAATAACATCTCTTTCTCAAGACTATTATACAGGGTTTTCCAAGTGTTTTCTCCTAATACCAGCTTTAGCTGCATGGTTATGTTGTCATGGCTTCTCTTTTTGTAGCACTTTCATCTACTGTTTTGTAATTTTTGCCTAGAGAGGAGTCTGAGAGGAAGCCCCATGGTGGTCTACGGCTTCTTCACAGATGAGCAGAAGGGACGGGTGCTGTTTTATGCACTCTGGTTAAAGCAACAGGATTGGAGGGAACGGTATGGGTTGTGTCAAGGAAATTAGGAAAATGTTCATCACCAGTAACTGAGCACTGGAACAGGCTTCCCAGAACAGTGGTCATGGCACCAAGCTGGATCCAGTTCAAGGAGTATTTTGACAATGCTCTCAGAACTATGGTTTGTGTTTTGGGCAGTCCTGTGTGGAGCTAGGAGCTGGACTCAATGAGCCTTGTGCCTCATTCCTTCCAACTCAGGATATTTTATGCTTCTGTGATAAATTGCTGATGATAAAGCCACTGGTCTCAGCTGGTGAAGGAAAAACTATGTGAAAGCCTATGCAAAGGCATCTGGCGACTTAGGGGGACCTAGTGTTTCCTAGAGGTTTTGAAATGTGAATCAACTGGTGTACAAAAGGCTGTCCCTAAAACACAAATTCCAGTGTCTCTTTTATAGTTTCTCTGTTGGCTCTTGGATTACCAAGCAATGAAATACTCTGACCTCTGTATTCTTGTCCTTCCCTTCTGACCTGTCGTGGTCTTCTTTTAACCTGTTGCTCCTTTGCTTTGCTGCTTATGCTGTTGCTAACCTACTGGTTGCTTTTATTCACAATTGACTTTCCTTGGTTTGAAGGTGACATTAATCTTTTCATGCAAGACTGGTATGGAGATTGTCAATTACTTAAGCATTGCAAGTTTTGAGGACCTTTCCAATGTGCTGGCCCCTTGCCCAGAGGCTAATTTCACTTTCTGGATGGACTCTTCCTGAAAACACATTTCTTATAATGCCCACAGAACATGAATCATTACTACTTTGTCTTCTGCTGTCACCTTCCCTTTTAGCTACATTAGATAATATTACTGCATCAGTGCAATGTCAGCAAAAGAATAGGCTTGTATTTCCTTGTGTACCATCAAATCACTTGAGGAAACACTAAGAAGGATATCGTGCCAAACCACCATTCTTGCAAAAAGTGTTACTATGTCTTTGGTGGCTTTATACAGCTGACAAGCTTATCTAGTTTATTTGGGAAGATATGCTGATGTTTAATAAGCAGTAATTAGATAACGAACTTATCAATCCTGTTTTAGTCCTGAAACTCTGAGTGCGTCTGTCAGCATGGCACACATGCTGACATTAATTTATTTTTAGAATGGAAGTTTTATATCTGCCTTGGTTAAGCATCTAACATCGAGAAATATGCATCAGATTTCTGCTTTGCTCCTCACTTCCCTACCCCCAGGCACATGAAAGGTAATGAAGCTGCGATTTAGAGCAGCTGTGTATCTCTTCAAAATGCCATTGCAAGCTTGTTTGCATTACTCTTCATTTCTGCAGTTAATGGCTGATCTGGATAAAAAGAGATCTGATGATTTACTGCACCCAGTAAAGCAACTTGTAACTCCTGGTAGTAGCAACTGCAAGTGATACGATGTATGAATTCTTTTGCCATGTTGTAATTGCTGAGTACGTTGCTGGAAGTACTGGAACTTCTTAATCACTGAAAGCCGTCTTCTTATCAAACTGTTCTCTTGTTATGTCATTTTCCACTGTTAAAGGTGGGAAATGGGAGAGGGGAGAAGAGCTCCACTTCAGACCTTCTAGAACTTCTTTCTTGAAGCTCTTAGGTGTTTGAAAAGAAGACTATGAAGTGCTCACCTGTGCACTTCATACCTGTGTGCTAAATAGGATGTGGCCTGTTACCGCCCTAGTGTTTCTGTGTGCACTTAGAGAGGACTTGGCTTTCTAAAGCTTTTTTTTTTTTTTTTTTTTTGAGAAAGGATGGCCCATTCCACTGCTGAGGAGAATTGGTGTGTTCTTCGTTTTCCTGGAACAGCATAGCAACAGCACTTCACATAGGCATTTTGGTCCTGGGAGATTTGTAAAACCATTGAAAATGCCACTCTGGATTGCTTGTAAATGAGAAACTTAGACCTAATGTCAGACCACCTGTGTTTGAAATGCAAAAGAGAATGTTACTTCTTAATGTGGTGACTAATATTTTGTTTACTGTTATATCTTTATCTCTTGACCCTAGAGATTGTTAACCTCTGAAAAGTAAGTAGCTATTGATTCCCACAGCAGTAATCAACTCTGTAGGATTTATATTTGGGGAAAGAGGTATCTCTGGAAATTGAGTTCATATCCTGTGGGAAGTAAGAAAAGATGGGGACATGGAATATTTAATTGGAACAGTGTCTCATTTACCATTCTGGTTTTGGAAATTTTCTTCTGTTTAGCAGTTTTGCAGCTATTCTAAAATTTGTCATCAAACTACTTAGTAGCTTCACTGTATGCTGTCTTGCATCAATTTACCACTGATGTTTCACCTTCAGTTTTCTTTAGATTCTTGCTGTATAATCAATGAATATACAGATGTTATAGTTATGAAAATATACCAGAGAGTTTAGCTAAGCAGTTATTACACCAAAACGGAATAGATAAAATGCTTACCCATATCCTGGGTTTGCTAAGAAACTCCAGAGGAGGGGATCTCCAGAAGAGACCCTTCCCCACTGGCAGTCAGCTCTTATATGGGTCTAGGAGAGGTGCAGCCAGGCTCCACCCCTTCGTGCAGCACAGCTGAATTGCCTTCACCTGTGCTCCGTGGCTGACTCAGTGCTCACCTCAGGTGATCAATCAGAGGTTCAGGCTGTGATTCAGCAGTTCCCATACACTTGCCACCCATATAGATAATTTATTTTACGGAGTTCTTCTATAGTCTTGCTATAGAGAGAACTTATGTTCAGATTTGCTTTTGAATTAATTTCAAACATTCCATTCCTTCCCAAGGAAGTATTTCAAAGTCATCTGATCTCTTTGGCCTTTAGGGAAAAAAGAAACTTCTTTAAGACAGGATTGCCAGGCATTGTTCTCTCTGTATCCTGCTCATCTGTACATCAGGGCTGTTTGCTGATACTTTAAAGACTTCTGACCAAACTAATGGTATAGCTCACGTGCTCTCTGAAAAATGAGGAGTTATTATTACTGTAAAATTACTACTGTATTGTTCTGCGCATTTTTATCATTTAATTTTCTTTTAAATGGAAAGTGCTCTTAGATGACAAAGAAAAGAATATTGCATTCTGGCCGTATTATTACAAAGTCATCTGAAATACTGTGAAACTTAGACTTAATTGAGTCACTCTTCCTATTTTAAAGAGCAAGCGCGCGTTTTCATTAATGTGAAAGGGAGATTTCAATGTACTCAGTTCACCTGTTTCTGCTTTAGCTATGTAGTGTCTCAGCAGGCTAGGGGGTTGCACAGCATACAATATAGATGCTGCCCTGTGCTGACTCAGTAAAGCAATTTAATTCTGCCTCAAATTATTTTGCCTAAAAAACAAGCAGTACATGAGGCTATTCTTTGACACTGGTGTTCTTTTTCATTGATTGTTCCTGCAAACAATATAGCTGTGAAGCTTAATTGTACCTCTGTGAAGCCATGGAAGGTACGGATTTGATTGTTTACTTGTTTCTCTCTCTTCCTGGTCTGGCTTATGAAGTTATGGAAAGAATAACCTGAC